TTTTTTTTTTTTTTTTTTTTTGAACTCCACAATGTCAAGCAGCCTCCAGCTCACCTCCAGTTCAAATCCTCTCCCCTTTGCTGCACCTAAAACCACTGCCTGCTGTTTGCGTACTTGCCGTATGGCCAAACAGTTCAATGATCCAGGAAGTAGGGATTATTCACATATGTGGGGCTGTCACCCCAGCAAAGCCTGTTTCTCAATTCTGCATGCTACGTAGCAGCTTATGACACTACACAGAGGCCTCCTTGGTGACGCCCTTACAACAGAACGAGTAGTAAATTGTTCTCTCTTTTTTCTTCCTCTCCCACATTAGATTTTCTCCCACACCCATATTAGGTTTGCTCTTCCTGGAACTCAAAAGAATTGGGAGCCACTATGGCTTCTCAGTACTTGACGTGCAGTGATGCTGCAGTAGTACACATGCAATAAAACCTAGACATTCACTAGAATGTCAAAAGGTGGGTCTTTACCCCACCCAAGATAAGAGGCAAGTTTGGATCTGGATTGAAATCCACTTCTCACATGACTGCTAGGCAAGTTCTTCCTAAGAGGCTACACAGGCATTCCTTGATCCGTTTGAAAAATTTTCCTTATGTGCAACTAGGACTGCCTGGGAAACGAGATGGCCCAGAATTGCTTTTTGGCCACCTACTGAAAGATTAGAGCAAACAGCACAATTTAAAAAAGAGAAATTTCTTTTTAAGGTAATTAGTTATAATCTGACTGTTCTACATACCTACAAAAGGAGTTGTCCATTGCCATGAACTGCCTAGTGTACCACCATATTTTCACATACAACAAGTCTTGGAATATAACATACTCCTAGCTTTTGAAAGGCAGAATGAAAAGGGCAGGAGATTGGGGGATTCCCCAGAGTTATGGCTGCATAGGGAAAAGATGGAGCCTAATCTTCAGTTAGCTCACTCTCCCTTTCCTGCTCAACTTGAAGACAGGTCTTCATAGGTGGATCTATGATTTTGGAACGAGTTAGTCTCTCCCAGACTGTGAAACAGAAAGAGACTGGGAGCAGCTAACAGAGTAAAGCTGTGTTAAGAAAGGTTAGTGTGAGTAGCTGAACAATCAGGATCATTAAAAAAAAAAAAAAAGAGACAATCATTACCACTTCTGGAATGAAAAACAAGCCATTAAGTCAACCAACTCCCTTAACTTCCTGAAAAGCAATCCAACTGCTGCTGCACTGTGGAGCAGCAATCAATGCAGGGTGCTTCTATCCTAGTCAGAAAGTCAGCTTCACCACTGAGTACATGCACTCCAGTTGGGGGGGGGGGGGGGGGGGG